GTTTTTTTAGCAATTTTAGGCTAAAACCGCAGTGCCGTATTTTGGCGTGTAGTGCCGTAACTTTGTGTGCCAGTGCCGTAAAAAAGTGTCTCGCAGAGTTCACACTATAGAATGCACGTTTGGGGTGCTTCTGCTCAGGCTTTTTGTGTCATTTATACGGCACTGGGTGCCTTTAGCACCCCTTGGTCCCAGTCCCATAGCAGTGGGCCACTCGTGGCCGGGCAAGCCTTCATGGTGTCGTGCAAGAAAGAACCAGCACAAGTGGAGAATATCGAAGAAGATATTAGAGTCGCTTATTTGCAACTAAGTGATCCTAATACATACATAGGAAACACATCCCCGTCCAATACCCCTATGTCAATCTGAGGCTGCCGAAAAGGTTTTGCAAGAGCTGAAAGTCAAGGCTGAGCAGATCCGCCGAGGCTGGTCTTTGGAAGGTGCTGAAATGGCACCTCCTGTGGTTCCAACGGATGCCCCGGTTCCCCCAGCAGAGGCTCTTGAGCAGCATGCAGAACAGGAGTGCAATGACACAGCAGCAGCAGAACAGAAGGGCAATGACACAGCAGCAGCAGAACAGAAGGGCAATGACACAGCAGCAGCAGCAGAACAGAAGGGCAATGACACAGCAGCAGCAGAACAGAAGGGCCTTGCAGCTAAAACCCGTGCAGAGCCGCCACGTCCAGTAGCAACACCCAGCCGTGGTCTTCTGTCGTCACAACCAGTCTCAAGCGATGCCCAGCCGAGATCACAGCAACTGTGGGAGCAAGAGTTCCCAGCCACACAGCATGATGCTCCCCCGATGGTGAACGATGATGACGATGCTGATATCTTGATTATGGAGATTGATCCCGAAGCTAGGCAGCAATTATTGGTGCAGAGGCAAGTTCAACCTATCTCACCTATACCTCTATATCTGTTTATACTTGCATCTGTATTTACCTATGTATGTGTATATTCCCCAAAGCCCCGTACTTCTATCGGTGTCTATATCACCCAAGTCCGGGAACTTCGTAGTAACATAGAAGAAATCAAGCCCCCATATACGAACCTATTGAGTCTCCAAATACAACATATATTTCCTATGTAACAACCAGAAAACCAATTCTAATCCCAAGCACAACAGCCGCCTTATCACTAGTCTTCCCATCCCCTTCCCTGAGCTTATAACCCAGAACAAATCCAATTTCGGCCAAGGACGACTCGGAGCTCCGGGAACTCCTCCACAAGGCCAGCTTCGAAGTGAAGGAGCAGGAGCCGTTGACGCCAACAGCAGCCCGGTTGCCTGAGATGTATGGTTTCTGCATTGACATGTGTGCATCACACTATAGAGGTCTAAGTATGTATGTCGTGAAACATTGTGAGGTGGCAGATGAAGCTGTGGATGGCATAAATGATGTCTATTGGCAGCCAATGACACTTACGGAGCCTGATACAGAGCATTATGAGCCACTCGTTTGGCAAACTACAGCCGAGCCTGATGCTGCTGGTGTATACACCAGCAAGTCTCCTGGTCGTGAGGAAGCCAGAGCTGCTAAGGTGTTCGCGTGCCCGAAGAAATCCCCGCTTCCCAGGAGGAGGCTTTTCGATTCCCCAACACCACAGAAGTGTCGCAGAGGTCGTTCCCCCTGCCCTTCTCCCAGAACTAAGTCTGACAAGAAGTCGAGGCCCAGAATCGCAAGCCCCAAGTCCATCGACAAGCCCAGCAGGCACCGCAGCCCCAAGTCTGTCCACAAGTCCAGCAAGCATAGCAAGCATCGCACCCCAGAGAAGAGCAGCCGCAGGTCCCGGTCCGATGCAAAGGTTACCCCTGAGTCAACACGAAAGCGAAAATCCCGGAGCCCAACCGAAGACCTCTCAGACGCTTCGAGTGTTTCTGCTACAAGCATGAAGCCTTCGTCGAAGAGTGGCAAGGCCCTTGGGCTGTAAGGCTTGGTATTTTATATGTATATATGGTGTTAGCATATGTATGCATGTATGTCTGTCTGTAGGTATGTATGTATGTATGTATGTTTGTTTGTTTGTGTATATATACATATATACATGTATGTATACACACATGTACACACAAACACAAACACAAACACACACACACACACACACACACACACACGCCCACACACACACACACACGCACACACACATAAGAGACAGTTGGTTATACCAGTGTATGCACAGTATGCACATATATCTATACTGCCAGGTATGTATGTACCTATATAAGTGTATATATATGTATATATATATATAGATATAGATATAAGATATATCAGATGTACAAACTCTCTCGCCAAATCCTTGTGTGTGTGTGTGTGTGGGGGATACATGTGCTCCTGTGGGGAATGCCTGTGCTTCTGTCTTTGGTGTTAGTGCAGTTAGTTCGGGAGTACAGAATTTAAACTCTATGTGTAGACGAATCATATAATTATGTCGGGGCTATGTTCAACCATAAACCATCCCTTCATGATGCAGGGCAAGAGCAAAATCCAGATCACGAAGCAGGAACTCCGAAGGTACCAGGCCACGCTTCGGAGAATGTGCCGGCCGAGCGCCAAAAGGGGAAACTTGCAGGTTTCGAATGAGGTCGCTGATAAGTGGAAGTGCAACAAAGCTAGGAAGCAGCTGCTAGTGGCTCTTATCACATGCAAAGGCGACAAAGATTCTTGGCACAACTTTACTTGTCATCGTCTGTCGTGAGAACTCCATGCATGTGTCAATATGGCTTCTCATAGATCTTATCTTAGGATGCTTTCAATCACCGGATGGAGATCCTCATCTCCAGCACGAAGGAAGGGAAAGTTGTGATCAACAGCGGTTTCTACAGCGAGGCTGCTATGAAGACTGAGCTCAACTTCTCCAAGCTACTCGAACATCTTTAGCAGCAACAGCACTCGCACCCTAAACTATCCCTAAACTTATCGCTGGGCCCAAATCCGAATGCTGGCATGGTCTCCCAAGGGAGAGAATCGCCGCCGTCGTCAAGTACTGCACGAAGAATCGCCAGCGAAAGAAGCTGCTGACGAGGCCTGCCATGGGGTCTGGAATTTAAGCTGAGTTTCTCTCTTATGTTGCAGGAGAGACAAGTACCAGCCCGATATCAAGGAGTATTGGGTGGATACTTCTACGGTCGGCAGCCTCAGCACGAGCCACAAGGAACAGTTCAATCAGTACATAGAGATCTTGGACCCGGACTGCAGCCTGCCTGTCCCGCTTCTCGAGAATTCCCCGAAGCCGGACTATGACAGGGACGCTGATGATGATAATGAGACTGGGAGTGTTTCTAGCTCTGATGTAGAGGAGAAGGATGCCCCAAGCAGCAAGAAGAAGAAATCCAAGAAGAAAGAAAGCAAAGCCACCCCAAGCCCCAAGTCTCGATCCTCCAAGAAAAGGGCTGTGCTTAGAAGGGCGGAAAAGAAAGCTCGGGAGACTCGGGAAGACGAGAAGGAAGCAGCCAGGGAGGCTGGACAGGGTGGGGTCAGCATTAATGTCGTGTTTCTACTTATGTATCAATGTATCTAGGATTGCTAGTCACAACAATCGTGCAGGAACTCGAGAGGATCCCGAACATGCTTTCCGATATCCTGAAGCTCCGAATCAAGATGGACACTACGATCGAGAGCCTTCGGTCAAGAAAGGATGGAGATTCTACGAAGCTTCTTGATTGATTCGGTTTTCGTGTCTGGGTCTTCTGATTGGAGACTCGGTGGAACTAAGGGCCCAGGATACCATTTCGGCTCAGTCTGACAAGCTGATGGAGATCCACGACGAGCTTGCAGAGATCAAGGCTGAGTACGGCCCGGGTTCCGTGCCAGCGAAAACGAAACCCAACTCAATTCATCGTATAGCCTACATAGAACTATTCATGATAATAGCCTCGCTTATATTGAATGTGATATGATCTAAGGGCCCTTGAGAGTATCTCCAAAAAGTCGTTGGAACTCGAGAAGCTGTGCCCTGGCTGAATCATCCACGCCGCCTGTGTGCTCGTTGATGTCGCTCGCCCCAATGATATGCTAGCCTTGCTTCTGAGGGCGAGTCGGTTTACGATGGAGGAGAAGAAGCTCAAGAGGTCTCTTCGGTTGCAGTAGCTTCCGTGCATGGCACATATCATCGGGGTCCCAAGTGTTTTGTGTGATACTCAGGACGATTCTACGCACGAAGTCCAAGAGGAATGTCAGAGCCAAGAATGGCGATGATGAAGAAGATGAGGATTCTGATGCTGACACGGCTAAAACCAAAGCCCCGAAGCCTAAAACTAAGGCAGCCCCCAAGGCACCCCCCAAGGGGAAGCCTGCTCCTAAGAAGGGCACTAAGAAGTAGCTTGCCCGTGCAGCGTGCAAGGTCGCAGTGGGTCAGGGTTTTCGGTATATGGCAATGAGCCTATCTACTTTCCTGGGTCCCGGGGGCAAGCTCTTCTGTCCACAGTACCCGAACAGTTCGTGGATGTGGTAGCAAGGCTTGCATGCATCTTATGTGTGCGAGGATCCGTAATGGATCTGATTAGCTCTGAAGCCGGGGGCCTCAACATGGAACGAGAAGAAAAAATCAACTGCCTGCACTCTGTATCGTAGCTGCAATGTACATGATATGCGAAACCCTGATTATAGTCATATTTTGGATGCCTTGCAGGTGCCAGCAAGCCGCCCACGCACGACGACACTGGAGCTGCTTCCAAAGCCTTGGCGAAAGCTCGGGGATCAGGGGTCCTGGGTCAAAAAAACCAATCTAGCCCTTACATCCATCCAGGTATTTAGATATAAGCTCCAACCTAAATCGTGAAATAGGCTGAACATCCCAAATAACCCCAATATCTCAAAACCTTGACACATCCTTGATTTAAAGCCAAACAAGAAGAGTCCAACACACTATCCTAAGGCCCTAACCCTAGAAACCCCAATTTTAGGTGTACACAGATCTACAATAATGCTTGTACACGAGATCGTTACATCATCCATGCCCTGTAGGTATCTGACAAGTTGCTCTGCAGTATCGCTGCTGGCTTTATGGATGAGTGCCATGATGCCGACCCCGATGTTGCAAATGGTCTTGCAAGCTCTGGGTTACTTAGTGACCTACGGCGACAATCGAAGACGGGCCACGAGAACCAATCTGGTAAAGTCTTTGAGGCGAGAGGTTTGGCTCTTCCTGTACCCCTGACTTCGATTGATGTGGGCAAGGGTAAGCAACATCCCGTGCTAAAGGTCTGTGACATGCTACAAGTGTTGGCTCAGAAAAGCAAGCTGCCACTTTTCTGGGGCAGCACGAAGCTGAAAACCCGATCGGCGACCCTCACTGAATTCTGGAGCCGCTATCGCAGGCAGGATGCTGAGCATGCCATTTTCGAGCAGCAGGGGCAGCATCTTGATCGAGTGTTGCCATTGCAAATACACGCTGATGAAGGGCAAACACTTAAGAAGAGTGGTGTCATGATCATTAACATTCAGTCCCCTATGGGTTTTGGAATCAGCACATCTGACGACATTGATGATGCCATGGCTTTGAACTACATCGGCAACACCTATGCGACCAGGTTTTTGTATACAGTGTGCACGAAACGTGCATACAGCAAGAAAAATAAGTATGTGCTGGATGCGATTCTAGAGTGTTTGGCTGACGAGCTCAAGGATCTTTTTACACATGGGGTATCACTTCAAGTTGGAAAGCAAAACATGATCATGTACGTGGCTACAATTGGGCTGAAAGGCGATTGGCCGGTGCAGGCACGAATTGGCAACTTGACCCGTCACTTCGCCAAGAACCCTGTTTATACGCCTTCGAACAAAAGCGGGTTTTGCCATCTTTGTCGGGCCGGCGAAATCAACTATCCACCGTATGATTATTGCCGAAATGCCTCTTGGAGATCTTCCTTTCTTACTCGTGTTCCATGGACTACCGAGGGCCCTTTGTGCAGGATTCCACAATCTGCGAGAAAGGAAAGAATGCACAGGTTCGACTTGTTTCACACTCTACACAAGGGTGTGTTCGCCGAACTGGCCGGCAGTGGACTAGTTGCTTGGAAGCATATATAGTACGAATCCCACCCCGAACTTTTGCATACCAAAGTATCGCCATAAAAACCATTACCCAAACAAACTAATAAAAGTACGCTTGTCTATAAATATGTCTCGAATATAACTTTGAATCATTGCAGGTTGTCCTTTCGGACTATGGACTCGTCGGGGATGGCAACTTTCAAACTCAGCTCGATGCGATTTATGAGCTTTTGAAATCACACTGCCAGACGGCGAACATAGCTCTTCATATGGATGGCTTGACGAGGCACCTTCTGAAATTCCCAGGTGACTATGAGTTTCCTGTGGGGTTGCTTGGATTGAACTCGGGTTTGGGGGCTAGTTATATCGATACTTTTTCAAGTTGAATTTTTGTGGATCCCCAACATGGTATCAAAGGACTTGGTTCAAAGGCGCCGACACCAGAGCGGTGTGTTCATTTTTGGAAAGCTTTCTTGAACATCATGTGGCTCAGCTTGCAGTTCCGGATCCGTACTTGCAAAGTATGCTTTTGGCATGTCGTTCGGCGAACGAATTCCTCAAGGTGCTGTATTCTTCTGGGTTATGGCTATCACGAGAACGTTGCCAAAGGGCGGCACAAGCAGGTTTCGACTTCATGAAAAGCTACCTTGAGACGGCAGATGCTGCACATCGATTGGACAAAACCAGGTTTAAGCTTACCCCTAAGCTGCATGCTTTGCTGCACGTGATCGAAGCATTAGCACATGGCTATGAACGAGGCCAAGTGTGGGTTTGGAACCCACTCGGTGATGCTTGCCAGATGGACGAGGATTGGATTGGAAAAATTGCTGGCATCACCACTACAGTTTCCACTCGCTCTGTTCATCGGCAAACTCTCCGAAAATACCTCGTGAATGCATCGAGGCATCTCTTTGGCGACGAGTGAAAAATGAAGCAATCGACCGAGTCATGACATATCCTTAAGCCAGGTTCGTCTTTTCGAAAGATTGGAGAGGAATAATCTCGACCTTTACTGAAATTCCCCCCAAAAAGCGGTCACTGGTTACAAGACAACCCCGCCAAAGGCGACTTTCGTCGGTAGCCTATTATTATAGGCTCCCAGGCTTTCCAGGAGGATCCTATAAGGTAATCCCACAAAGGAACTACTATGGAGCCTATGGGTATACATGTCTTGATGAAGAGTAAGATCCGTTAAGATGGGGAGTGCAGCGCCAAGAAAGCAGCTCTCGTACACTTTGGAAATCTAAGATCCTCCAAACTTGAAGTAACGTCCACTTCCTTGATATAATAGGGTTGGCAACAGGGATCCTCAAATAGAGGCCCCAGAGGAATGAGGGGGAGTGTCACCCATCAGGAGTCTTCAATATATTAACTTCCTATCAGATATCAAAACTGCGTAGAACTGTGATGAAGGCGTAACAACGACCCTGTGAAGCTTGATACAGCCCTTATATCTACATAGACAAACTGGTCGCGTGCATGCCAAGAGATGCCGAGATCCGCAAGAGCTGGACCTCACAAACACGATCCTTTGATGTGGGGAGGTTTAACTAAAGATTCTTTGAGGGCTCTGGGTAGAAGCCCGCACACCTCGAAACAGGTTATAGGTTTTCATGCTATATGTACAATTCTGAACGAGCTTAATCACGGATCTTTTCGAATCTTGGCGAGGGTATGTTCGGGTATTCTCACAAGGGGGAGTAGAAATACAGCTCTACCTATAGTCTCCATTGTAGTTTCTTTTTGGGGTTACCTTTTAGGATTCTCAATATAGAACTGTTTAAACCAAAAAAAGGAAGTACAATGGAGACTATAGGTACAGCATTCCTATCTTCAGGGTGGAGGCCTCAGAGCACAGTAGCTCATCCTCCAATGTTGCGATCTACAACTCCGCATGTTGCTTGGGGCCCTAGACTCTAGACCATATAGAGGCCCAGGGAGGTAGCAAGTAAATTGCAAGTCGAGTTGTAAGTAGCCGCCCAAGGAAGATTACTCTACCTATCAGCTACTTATCATAGCCCCGTGATCCTTGAATCGGGCACTCGCTAGGACCTAGGCCACAAAAGCCCTTTGGCTCCAGTGTTGTTGAGGACGGCTCCCACAGTAAACACACATTGCTGGCCCGTCTTCCCCCCGTTTAACCCTAAACCCGAAACCCTAAACCCTAAAGTAAGGGAGAACAAGTCCACAGCACCAAACCGTGGAGTAACTGCTGCAAGCTTCTAGCCTCTAGCCCTACTTTGACCCCCAAAGAACCTACCCTTTTAGGCGCTAGACTGCAAAAGCCAGTCGTCTCAAATCCGACACGGTTGCGAAGTTGGGATTGATGTGGAAGAGGGGAGGAAACGGTGAGAACAAGTTACAATCAATGGATGAAACATGGAACTTCACGTGTGTACCGTTGTTGCAGCATTTTTGTTTTTTGGCATACCGGGTTGATCTTCAACAGGATGGCGATCGGAGTTTCAATGACAATTGCGGCCACCAAACCGACGGCACAGATGTCGAAAGTGATGGTGAGGCTGATGCTCTGGCTGAAGCTGATGCTGTTGATGATGAGGATGACGATGGTCAAGATGCATGCCCCAGGAAGTCAGGTCTTGACGATGATGAGGCGGAGGGGACGAGCACGAGGACGAGCAAGAGAAGCAGCTATGCAGCGAGGATGATGATGACCACGAGGATGCCACAGCAGCAAGAGGAGGAAGGCAGTACCTAACATAGGGGCCTGAAAAATAAGAGTAGGGTTTGGGGATGTTTGGGATCTATGATGCTACAGTTACATAAAGAATCCCCGAAACCCTATTCTAACAATTAAGGCCCCTTTACTGCGACGAGCGCGATGGTGACAAATCATTGTCACGGTTGTCAAAAGGTTTTCATGGCGACGATGACCATGCCCGCTTTTAGTACAGGATCTACGTCGGCCCCTGATGACCTTTGTGCTGATGATGTTGTCATGATGTCACTTATGCCGTAACAACTGCAAATCTTGCAGTGGTTGGCTGGTATCAGCATGGCTTCTGTTGTTTGCACTGGTAGTAGTGCGTCCTTCGATCACAGCCGTTAAGTAGCCTCTGAATCTGATCCTAAAGGAAGCGCTTAGAACATCGCCACTACCCACTAATCGCCCAAAGCACTGCGCCCACAGATCGCCAGCACGAATCGGCGCAAGACTTCTACCCATTCCGCTAAGAAAGCAAGACCGCATCCGAGACCCTGAACAAGAAGACCATGTTCCTGATGCTCAAAGAGATTAACCCAAGCTTACAGGAGGCCAGGAGGTGTGTGGAGATGAGTATGTTGTGGTTTTGGGGTGTTGAGGGAGTGTAGGCTCTGCCCATAGGCTCTATAGTAGTTCCTTTTGGGAGCTGCCTTATAGGATCCTAAATATAAGCCACAAAACGGAGCTACTTTGGAGCCTATGGCTGGAGCTTAGGTTTCCGGGGTATCAGATCCTACTTTAAGACTGTGGGATCAGGATGCAGGAGTCGGTTCTTTGGTTCTGGAGTTTTTTTGGGAGATCCGGTAAAAAAAGGGGCCTAAACGGCTCTGTTGCCTGGCTTGCCTTTTTTGCACCTACGTGAGAATGATGACGACAGACAAGGGACTGAAGGAATGAGTAATGTAGGGGCGTTAATAATTGGAATAAGGTTTTGGGGGTTCCTGAGTATAATTATAGTATAATAGACCCCCAAACCCTATTCTAATTATTAAGGCCCCTATATTATGATATATTATGTGGAAAGTTTTGGAGTGACGGTGCCAAGAAGCACGACGGGTAAAGAGCAAGAGCAAGCTCATGCCTCGCAACCTTATAAGCCCTACCTGGACTACAAAGAACCTACCCTTTTTAGGTTCCTTATTATGTTTTCCTTATATAAGTCCCGGGTTCTTTCGGGATGAAGGTAAACCCTAAGCATTAGGGCCTTCGGGTTTAGGGTTTATAGGGTTTCAATGAGATCCTTTCAGCGACAAGTTGACGCCAACCCCAGCACGGCAGGTCCCTAAACTCTAGACGCTAAATGGGCCATGAAATGAGGCACACGCCCTACGTCAAAACGTGTAGACTAGAAGCTACAGAGTCGAAAGTTGAAGATCTGCCTCT